TTCTTGGCTTGTAAGTGGTAAATGGGATCATAGGGATGAATGAGGCCACGTGGAGAGAGGATTCAGGAAGAAAAGCTAAGACTAGCATCTGGGGACACTAAATATTTAAGGATAGTAATAAAAAGAGGCATCGGTCAGAGGTAAGAAGTAGTCATCAACAAGAAAGGAGAGAATCTGGAATGAGTATGTCTTTGAATCCCCAAAGCAGGAAATGCTGTAGTGAATTCAAATAGATTAAGGCCTAGAACAAGGTTACTGGCATTGCAACTGCTATGTCGGGGGTGACCTCCACCGCAGCTTGAGTAGAGTGATGAAGGTGGAAGGCAGGCTGCGGAGCCGGAGAGACAGAGGGAGGTGCGGGTGTGAGCTCAGAGAGGATGCAACTCTCTTTCAAACTGCTGGGCGGTGACCGGAGGGAAACAGAGGGACCATGGCCATGGCAGGGGCGGGGGGAACACATCTAAGGGAAGGGAAGGTGTCTTTTAAAAGATGGCGTGGACCTGAATAAGATTATGGTCTGAGAGAAAGAAGCACGTGGATAAAGATAAAGCTAAAAGGACAAAGAGAATATCTGATAGAGGAAAGTCCACACTGATGCAACCGGGGAGTGGGGACAACTGCATAGGAGGAGGCTGGCTTTGAAGAGAGTGTGAGGGCTTCTGAGAATGAGGTTAGGAGGTAGGGATGAGTAAAAACAAAGGTAAATTTAGAGATTAAGAGGACTGCACGCTGCACGATTGCACATAGAGGGAATCTGGGCTGGCGCGGGCTGGTAATGGAGAGTGTCAGGAATTAAAGGGCTGCTTTGGGAGCTTGGGCAGTGGTGGAGTGGGGGGCAGTGAGGACTCCGAAGGCCTGTGAACTAAGGGACCTGAGCACCTGCAGAGGACAACGTGGAGGCAGGTGCTGGCGCCAAACCCAAGGCGCAGACACTCCCGGGACGATCCCTGCCTGGCATCTTGCCCCTTCCGGCCCCGGATCTTACAGGTGCCATTTGGTCTTAGATGAGCGAGACTGGAGAGCGTGCAAGCCTAAGGGTGTACATTCTCTGTGAAATAAGAGGCCAGCTCCTCCGATCAGAAGGCCCAGGGATGGGGGAGGAACTTGGAGAAGAGTTGCAAAGCTCGGGATCAGCCTTTGATTTCGTGTTGATTAAGGAGGTCAATGATGGGATGCAGTGTGCAGTCTCAGAGGCCAGTGAACAGCGTGATGCCCACTTGGCTCTGTAAAGTCTGTTACCCGAATGCACACACATTTCCGTTCCACATCCTGATTCTTGGCTCCAACCTCCACTTTTTGCAACTTGCAAACACCTAAAGCCAATAAAACTGCCAGTGCCGACCTCCCCCGGCATGGTGCCCTGTAGGTCTCACGGTGTCCTTATCCACTTGGTGGAATGACACCCCAATCACCTTCCTGCCAGCACGGTTTTCAACTGTTACTGATTGTGCCTCTTGTCTCCCTTTTAGGCCCATGGTTTCCACTTCTCTCTGTAGGCAGTGCTGACGCCTGCCCACTCACCCCCACTATTGCTTCACTGCTCTCAGGATGCCGAGGCCTGGATCTTAGCCATGTATTTGGATAATGTCCATCAAGGAATTAGAAATGCAATCTTTCTTTGGAGTTAGGTTATCACTGTTTGGAAATAGTTCTGTTTCCTATATCATATGAATTCTTAATAGCTAGATAAAGAGAATTTTTAAATTATCTGGTTAATCCTGATTACTGCAGATATTAACCCAAATTTCTACCTGGCTTACAACTCCAAATTCAGTGGTAACCAATGTGTGTTGTTGAATGACCAAATTTAAAGTGGAAGAAACAGTAATAACAAGTTGCAAATGAGTTGTGTGAGTGATTTTCTTATTTTTCAGTATATATTATTTTGACATACAACTTAAATATATTAAATATCAAAATACACAAAAATATATGTGTGTGTATTAGTTGATTATTTAATGTGTTTAGTTGGGGAAGAATTATATTCAGAATTATTATGAATTCTTGCTGTGCTATTATTTATACAGTTATTTTAAATCATCTTTTTCCCTATAACCCTATGATCTTTGAAACCTGTTTTATCAAACTGCAACAGCTTTATTAAAGCAAGTCAAACCCAAACACTTCACTTCCACCTACGTTAAAGAAAAGACAGATTCACCGTGACAGAAACAGCAGTGTAAATGGTAACGCAAACACTGTAAATGCCAGAAAATAATAAGGTAAGAATGTTACCCAATGTAGCCTTGGCTGGCATAGGTGCCAAATGGGGGCTTACACTTCTGATAAGAACACAGGCAATTTCAAGCCCCACCTGTAACACACACAATTATAAAAATGAAGTGCATGTTTTTAAAAGAAATCAAGAAATATTTCTTTTGAAAAATTAAAACAATGAAGGGAACTGCTGTATCCTTGCTTGTACATACTACATTTCAAAGAAACCAAATGGCCCTTGAAGGAAAATTATCCTAAATAGAGTAATTCCAGCATATAAATGCAAAAAGAATGATAGAATTTTTTCAAAAATCACCATTTCACAACTCATACTAAATCATATTTATAGGCAAGCATTAGGGAAAGGTTAATGGGGAATGTTATACTGGCTGGATCACACTGACAGCAACTGAGCCTGAGCAAGTGATGAAAAGAGAGACCACTCAGACATTACATGCCACCTGTGGGAAGGCGATAAAAATATGCCACCTCCGATGAAGTTGACTTACAGAAAAGCAAAAACAAAAGCAAAATAAAAATATGCCACCTCCGATGAAGTTGATTTACAAAAAAGCAAAAACAAAAGCAAAACTGACCCTGAATTTGATCAAGCCTCTAGATATAACAATGGGTCTATAGAAAATACAGGGAAGAGAGGGACATGTCAAATACCACCACAGAAATGCAATCAGATAAACCCAAAATGTGGGAAATCGAACCAATACAGAACCAACGGCCAGGGTTTTCAACAAATAAAGAGCAAGAACAAAAGTGGACAGGAGTGTTAAAGACTAAAAGACACATCAACCAAACTCAATGCATGGACCTTGTTTGGATCCTGATTGGAATAAACCAGTAGTAAAGATACATTTATGACACAAGTGTGAAAATTTGAACAATGATTGTGTATCAGGTGATATTATAGAATCATTGTTACATTTTTTGTTATGATTATGGTTTCACGGTTGTGTGGACAAAAGAGGAGGAGATCATCTGCTAATGGTAACATCAAAGCACTTACAGATGTGCCATCTGGAATTTGTTTTGAAATAATCCAGCAGGAGTTAGGGTGGAGGTGAGGGAAACTGTGGAGGGGGAGTAGATAAAGCAAGATTAATGGATACATGGGGGTCCATTTACCCCATTCTTTCTGTGTTGAAATTTCTTAACAGAAAGCCCATTTTTAATCACCTAAACTGCTGATAAGTCAGTTGCAAAGGTAGTTCTAAATCAACTTAAACTTGGTTGTGCTCCATCCATAGACTCTTCCTTCATGTCCCCACCTCCTCCATCAAAGCAAGCACCCCATCTTATTTCCAATGTCCCCATAAAGTCCCTTGAAACCAATTGGTCATTGTCTCTGGCTCTGTATATTCAGTCTACTGCCCCCTGCCTCTTTTTACTCTGTCTTATCCCCGAACCCACCCTCCCTCCTTAGGTCTATTTTTATGGATTTTAGACGGTGAACATGACTTTTTTTGCCATCACCCTCCGGCCAGCTTCTAACAGCCCACTCTACACATAGCCACTCTTCCTCTGTCCACATTTCTTTTTTTTTTTTTTTTTTGCGGTACTCAGGCCTCTCACTGCTGTGGCCTCTCCCGTTGCGGAGCACAGGCTCCGGACGCGCAGGCCCAGCGGCCATGGCTCACGGGCCCAGCCGCTCCGCGGCATGTGGGATCCTCCCGGACCGGGGCACGAACCCACGTCCCCTGTATCGGCAGGCGGACTCTCAACCACTGCACCACCAGGGAAGCCCTGTCCACATTTCTTCAACGGGTGTTGCTACTGGTACCAGGGAGTTCTGAGCCAAGTGGTGGTCCACAGACCTCTTCAGTCTGGTCTCACCCTCCTACCCGTGGAGAGGAACACCTGCAATCCTCCTCCTTGTTACGGAGGTCGAGTACTACAGTAACAACCCTGGCTGTCTCCAACTGCTAACGTGGTCCTTCCCTTATGAAGAAGACAAATCTGATTGGTCCCAGACAAGGGTAAGTGTTGAGCTTTGCTTTTACTGCCTTTTACCACTTTTTTGAAAAGTCTGTACTAGGCCTGCCTCTCCTGTATTTTTTTGTTCTACCAACAAACAGGAAATTAACACAACCAATAAATCCTTCTGCCACTGGGATGTAAAAGTCATTTATTACACGGATCATAACAATGGATTCAGAGGTTCTACATGCACTGCTTTCCCCAGAGATGAATCCTATCTTGATTTGAGAAAGAGGCCCACACTTTGGCCTCAGGTTCCAGCTACATTCTCCAATCTATCTTCTAGAATCAGAAACTATTAGGCTGCTCATAAACTGTCCTGGAGATGTCTTTGATCCCCATCTACCCGGTGAGTTTTGTGCCTGTGTACTATTATGTAGAGCTGTGATGGAAGAGCAGGTAAGGGGACCTGCAAATCTCTAACACAAGCCAAACTCTTCTTCCTCTACTTATTGTCTAATAACACATCATTAGAAAAGGCCACTGTTGGCCTTGATTTCAGGTCACTAAAGACTGACAACATGTCATTAAAAACTAAATACTATACAAGATCAACTTAAAACATCATATCATACACCTAGGAAGTGCTCAAAAGCCAACCTGAGAGGCTTTCATTAACCAAAGACTGTGAGCATCAGTGAGAAAAATAACTATAATGGATTGAAACATACCAATAGTCATAAGTTTATAATGATACTAAAAAAACTGATCACTGTTAGAGAATGCTAGGAGGCCAAATCGTTATTTTGAAAATTGCTAAATAAAGGAAAATGTTCAAACATTTATCCTACCTTTCTTACAGGACTGTACCACAGGGTAACTGAAGAGTAGATGAGGAATATCTTTCTTTAAAGAACAGTTTCAACTGATAAGTGAAGAAAGAATGACAGAATTAGATTATCACCATTTCACAGCCCCTGATGTATTAATAAACCCAGCATTCATCAATAACAGCACTGACATCATAGACAGACAACCAGATACCACATACTTCCTGATGGAAGGACATAACACCTAAAAAGTCATCTTGCCCCGCCCCCCCCATCAAAGCTGAATTTGATCAAGCCTAGATCCAACAGCCAATTTACCAGTTGCAGAAGTCAGAGGAACACGTTCAACTACGTGTATACCAGAGGGTGCAACCAGCAAAATCCAGGACAGCTTGGTTCCTTCAATAATTAAGTGTCAAGAAAAAAGAAGTCTGGAGGTGAAAACTAAATGTCAAAGGAAACTTTAAAAACATACCAGCCAATCACAATGCAATCAATCTCATTTGACTTCTAATTCAAATAAACTGTTTTTCTAAAAGCCACTCATCACGTTTGTGGGAAAACTGATCATTTGAACACTGGATAATTGATAATATTAAGCGATTATAATTCTTGAGGGGTGATAATAGTATTGTGGTTGTGTTTTTTTTTTTTAAGAATCCTTATCTTTTAAATATACATGCTGAAAAATTATGGATGAAATGAAATGATGTCTCGCATTTGTTGCAGAATAATGAGGGGGAGGTGATACCAGTAGATGGAGACAGGATCAGCCCTGAGCCGATGGCTGCCGAGGAAGGAGATCCTACGTGGGGTTCATTGTACCTTTGCCTGCTGACTCTCCAGGATAAAAAAACACAAAAACATGCGTATCAGAGTCTTTTTGAAAGGGGGAGGATCCTCTCTGCCTAGCAGGACAATTTACAGAGTTATTATTTTGTTGTTGTTGTTATTACTGCTGTTTAAAAAGAGAGAAAAAGAATTCGTCCTCTCCTCCACGCCGCCCACTCCCTCAAGGGGGCAAACTGTGCTTTGAGTCCCAGAGAACTGGGCTTCCTTTGCACACGTGGCAGAATCAAAGCCTTTACACAAACAAACAAACAGCTGACCTGTCTGGAGAATGCAGGTGGTCTCAGGGCCTGGGAAGCGGGAAGGCAGGAGAGGTAGACCTACGACCCCCGTGAGGTTCCAACGTCAGGAGGTATGTGCTGCCGGCGCTCTGCGGTTGGCTGGTGGGCAGTTGGGAGGGAAATGAACTTCCCATTCTCCGTGGTCTGGCTTTCACACAGCCTTCTCCGCTACAGTTTCACTATAGTTTTAACAACCCTCACGTCAACATATTCCCATGATGGATAAAGAAGATGTGGTACATACATACAGTGGGATAGGGCTCAGCCATAAAAAAGAATGAGATAATGCCATGTGCAGCAACACGGATGCAACTAGAGATTATCATACTAAGTGAAATAAGAGAAAGACAAACACCGTATGATATCACTTACATGTGGAATCTAAAATATGACACAAATGAACCTATCTACGAAACAGAAACAGACTCACAGACATAGAGAACAGACTTGTGGTTGCCAAGGGGAAGGAGAGATAGGGGAGGGATCGAGTGGGAGGCTGGGATTAGCAGATGTAAGCTATTATATATAGAGTGGATAAACAACAAGGTCCTACTGTATAGCACAGGGAACTTTATTCAATATGCTGTGATAACCCGTGATGGAAAAGAATATAAAAAAAGAATGTGTGTGTGTGTATATATATATGTAATTGAATCACTCTGCTGTAGAGAAGAAATTAACACAACATTGTGAATCAACTATACTTCAATAAAAATAAATAATAAATATTCCCTTTAAAAGTCTGTCGAAAAAGCCCTTTTTTCTTTTTTCTTTCTATTGGCTGTGCCATGCGGCATGCTGGATCTTAGTTCCCTGATCAGGGACCGAACCCATGCCCACTGCAGTGGAAACTCGGAGTCTTAACCACTAGACCGCCAGGGAAGTCTCAAGCCCTATTTTTAAAGAATGTGCTCAGGTGCCCATCGGTTTTTTCACAAGGGTCATTCTAGTTTTCCTGAGAAAGTGACAGGACTTGTCAGGTGGTGATAGGTGGTGATGACAATGATTGAAGTCAGTTTTGATGTTCAATGATTGTCATGTTCTTGGCAAAAATTGTTAGATTTTAGAGGTACCATGTAAGTGCCCAGATTCTTGTGTGACACAAGGTCAACTGAGGGCTCTTCCTAACATGACTGGCCAGTAGGGGCTTGGGGCCAGACATGATTTAGAAAAACGAAGTCCTGTTTCAGGTACAAGAGTGTGATCGTTGCCTGTCACACCTGAGAGTCACATATTATCCGTTCCTTCCTTCCTGAATTATTATAAAATGAAGAACCCCCAATCTCTTCCCACTTACCTTTAGACGCAAAATTTTTGTTAATGGCTTACTTTTGGTACCACACTGGCTCATTGAGATCTAGCCCCTTTAATTTCTAATGCAGCCCCAAAACAATGCCAATCAGGCCCTGCCTCAACCCGCTTCCACTCGGATAAGAATGGTGACTGGAACCGAAGATCAAGAGAGTTTAAAAGAAATTCAGGCAATCACGGGGATCAGGATAGCTCACTTAGAATGAGATAAAAGGAGATTTAACAGATTTCACAAGCAAGTAAAAACACTGGAGCTGTCATTGAGTTGGACGTAAAACACTTGTAGTATTTTCTAATCCAGGTAAGTCCAGTTTGTCTCAGGGAATCTGAAGGACCACTGAATAGAAAGAACTGGGTGAGAGTCTAAACAGAGGCCCTCAGTGGCACTGGTGGGTAGGGACACAGTAGGATCTGGGATCGCCTGTCTCTTTTTTTTTTTTTTTTGCGGTACGCGGGCCTCTCACTGCTATGGCCTCTCCCGCCGCGGAGCACAGGCTCCAGACGCACAGGCTCAGCGGCCATGGCTCACGGGCCCAGTTGCTCCGCGGCATGTGGGATCTTCCCAGACCAGGGCACGAACCCGTGTCCCCTGCATCGGCAGGCGGACTCTCAACAACTGCGCCACCAGGGAAGCCCCGCCTGTGTCTCTTTTGCCGATCTTGCTTCTCTTCCCTGTCTCTAAATGTGGACTACCCCCAAGTTCAGTCCTCAGAGCCCTCCTCTTCCCTACCCACGCTCCCTCCTTAGGCGATCCCATCCAACCCATGGCTTTAAACATCATCTATCTACTGACTGCTCCAAGCCTAGCCTCTCCCCTGGGCTCCAGGCTTGGACAGTCAACCTGGATGTTTAACTGGCCTCTCAATGTTAACATGACCCCCGCCACACTCTCCATCTTCCCCCTAAACTTTAACTAATGGCACCCAGTCACTCGGGCCAAAACCTTGTAGTCTTCCTTGACACTTCTTTCTCCACTCACATCTAATCCGTCAGGAAATTCTTTTGATTCTGCTTTTCAAATGGATCCCAAATCCAACCACTTCTCACCACATCTACCATTATCACCCAGGTCTGAGACACAGTCTCCCACGTGACAGCCCACTAGCTCATTCCATAGTACTCAATGGCTTCTCTTCACGTTTAGCAAATATCCAGGCCTTTTCCCTGCCCACACAGGGCCTGAGCCCCGCCTACCTCTCCATCCCCAGCTCCTACCCGTCCTTTCACTCAGGCTACCGGCAGCCTCGGGGGCCTCCTTGCTGTCCCTTCAGGCTGCCAAACGCTTGGCACTTGATGTCCTCTCTGCAGGGAATGCTCATCCCCAGTACTGCCTCCTGTCTTCCAGGTCTCTGTTCACACGTCACCTCTTTGGACAGCACGTCCACAGCACTCTAGCCAGAACAATACCCCATCACTCTCTTACCCCTTATCTTGCTTTGTTTTTCTCCACTACTGCTTATCCCCACATGACAGATATATCTATTGATTTACTGTTGATCTCCCCAAAGAGAATTTAAGTTCCGCAAGGGCAGGGACTTCGTTTTGTTTACTAGAGCAGTTCCTAGCATGGAATATCACTAAATAAATGTTTATGAGATGAATGAAGTTAAAATGACATGAAATCCATGCAAATCCTTTCCATGAAATCCCTGAGGTCACTAGATTAGGAAAACAGCTTTTCTTATTCCCAGAAATCCTGCAAGTATCTGGACCCAATCTCATTATATAATTTTTAAAGATTTAGAATATAGAGAAAATATTTATATTCATCATTCAACAGATATTTACTGAGTGCTGTAGATACCATTATCAACTCCTGTGCAGGTAGCCCTTAATGCTCAGAATAACCCTATAAGGTAGATATGGTTACTGGCATTTCATAGCTGGGCAGCAGAGGTACAGACACATCAATGACTCTTCCCAGGTCACATATCCTGTACCTGGCACAGCTGTGATCCAAAAGCAGGCCCATTTTGCACCCTAAGCCATGCTATAATTCTATTTCAGCAGGAGCCTCAAGCCATCCCATTCCGGAACATTCTCTCCCACCCTGGACTGGCAGCAATACTGCCAATACGAGCACAAAAGCCATTTGTGGTTCATCTTATCACTTCCTCTATGAAGTGCTCTGTGAGTGCCACCAGCAGAGCTGGCTGCTCTCTGTGCCGATGCCAAAGCACTTCGCTAGCACTGCTGAACAACTATTCCTTGCTATAATTACTTGTCTCGCTGTCTCTCCCATAAGACTGAAATCTCTCAAGGACGAGGACTGTGTCTCCTATTCACCTCGGCACCTCTGGTGCCCAGAACAGTGTCTGGCATGTAGTGGGAATTCAATAAATGTTGACTGAATGAGCAAATGAACTACACTGGGAAACACATTCCCATCCCAAGAAGCGGGTAGTGGAGCAGACGGCCAGTCGGGGCCTCGTGTTCTTGCTTCGGTGATCATTCCTCACTTCTCATTTGCATGTTTATTTCCCCAGGTCCTATTTCGTTGCTTGAATATCTGTGACATCTCCTGCTAACTGTCCTGTGCAACAGAGGCTCTTTCTGACTAATCGCCTCCTCCAAGTGAAAGTCGTTCAGAACGAAAGTGTGCCTCTTGAATTCAGATTCTGCCTGTAGTGCTGTGCTTTGTGGGATCCACTTCACAGCGACCAAGGGGTTCTTCTTTCTGACACAAAACAATCTGTGAGGTTCAAATTTGGTGCCTCCTTGAGCTAATCCAATTCAATTCTTTAGTATACATGGTCGTGAGACTTTAGAAAGCTCAAGTCATCAACAGAATGCAAATTTCAAAAAATCAATGAGATTATTTTTTGCCTATCAAATCGGCAAAATTAAAAACAAAAAAAAAATGCTGATGAGGATTTGGGATATGAGAACAATCTTCCTCTGGGATAGCCTGAAAACACATTAACAACAGGCTTTTAAAAAGGTTCCCAGCTCTTTAAAGTTGACCCGACAGTTCCATTTCTAGGAATATGTTCTAAGCAAATAATTAAATTAAGATTTAACTACCGTGATGTACGTAACAATTTATTATAACAGAGAAAATCTGAAAATTATTTAAATAACCAGGAATAAGGAATTAAATAAATTAAGGTACATCCCAACAATTAGATACTATTCAGTGATTAAGATTTATATTTTAGGTCAATATACATGAACAGAGAAAGATTGTTCATGAGGTATTAAAGTGTAGATTACATAACAGCATGTGTAATATGAACCTATAACAAATATTCATGGTGTTTATTTATTTCTCCAATAGCAACCTGACTTCTTACTGGAGTGTTTTCTCCCCCTCACTGAGTGTAGCTGTTTGTTGGATGATTCTTAGGATGACCCCCGCCGCCTCAGCTCCCTGGGCTGTCTCTCCCAGGACCCTGACCTGAGTCAGTGCAGGGTCACCCCTGTAGCAGCGGCCCCTGAAAGGCTGTGCCAGTCATAAGATGGTTGCTATGCATTGCTCCCCGCTTCTTTGCCTCCAGAATCTTGCTTGGCTCCTGTCTGCCCTGAGCCTGGCTCCCCTGGCTCCTGTGGGCTCTGTGAACACCCCTTCCTCAGCCAAGGTACCAGCCTGTGAATCCCCTTTTGCTTCAGTTAAGCAGGCTTGTTTCTGTCCTTAGAGTCAAAGAACTCCAACTGATGGCTTCCACAGTGATACTCCAAAGAAGTTATATAGCAATACATATTCTTGGGTTTTCTCTTCTTTTTGCTTACTGGTATTTTCCAATTTGCTTTAAAAATACCATAATAATTTTTAGAGGAGTTTACATTGAAAGGGAGATAACTGATTAGGGTGCAGCAAGAAAATTAGAATTTCTATTTTAATTTATACACTATCTTCAAAATTAGAATGAGAGCTCACCAACATGTAACACGGATGGACATTAACATCATCACTGGATCTGTGTGTGAGGCAATCACATATCAGGAAGGCAGGCAGGTGTCCCAAGGGCAGCATGTGGGTGCCTTC